TGTTAATGTAATATTTGTCAAATTTTATATGTAGGACTATCAACATAAAAGCAATGGTCAGTATAGTAAGCGAGACATTTCAGCGTGTGCACTCTTGTTTTTATATCTAATCATTTACATCGCCCAATTAAGGATAAAACACGACTTGAATATCCGAAAGAGTGTTTAAGAAGCTGAAATACGACATGAGACAATAAAAGCTATGAGTAAATAGCTTAACCAACAACTCCAGTTGGCTTGTATATTCGAACATTGATATACCCTATGCAGTATCATACGGAGTAGTGTTTAATCCTTTGCTAAGGTTTGATTGAGGTTGATGCCATTTCTAGGTAGCAGTTAACATAATACACTATAAGCAATTCAGCTGATTCAGGATAACATCAACTCTATTGAACACCATACTCTCGGTGTCAGTATCAACAGTGGAAGGAATACTTTTGGTAGAAATAAACACCAATCTGAACCACAGGAACGTTTGGTTTGTCATATAATATCAATTCAAAGTTTTACAACACTATAACTGAAGCCTTAGACTTGCTACAATTCCCTTTCTTTTATTTCTTTCTTACTAATTTATGTGTTTACTGAAAACTGCCAGTATACTGATTGCCCTTGGAGAAAGCAGATGTCAGTGTAATGGTAATCTCTTAGTTATAGCAGTAAAACTGTTAAAGGGGCAAAATTGGAAAAAAAAATATGGAAGGGACATGTAGCAAGTCTACTGAAGCCTAAATTAAGCAAACTGTTAATCATCAATTAGATATGATGAAGATTTTGAAATATGCCGCAAGGTCATATAAATCTATTGATGTTAAATATGTAAGAGGTTATGTTTTCAAACAGCAGTAACAGTAAGTATACAAAAATATTGAGTTCTTGGAACAGGTCACTGTTATAACAAAAATCCTTAATCATCACACTCATGTATGTATATAATATGTACGAGTTCTTGGAAAATGTCACGTTAACAAAAATAAATAAAATTCCCGTTATTTTCTATCTCGTTTACAAATTATAACAATATAAACTTGTATGTATAAACAGGATGTAGTTATCTAGAAATCTTATTTTAAAATTTAATGATTCTTCTTATAGTTTTACTTGGGTGTAAAAACGTTGACTGAAGCACCTTCAATATAGAGAAAAAATGTGCACATGGTCAACTCATTCAAAAAGGTCAATTCTTAAAATAAGATGTTTATGCCAGAACCATAAAATAGAGAATTATAGTGTCAATGCAGCGAAATCACACACAACACAATGAAAAGCAACTTTGGTAAATAATCACAATAGATAAGCTTTATAATATTCATATCTTTAGACTCGGTAGGTATATTCTAAAAACCTATATCAAACTTGATCCAATGTTTAAATAATGGTTGATGATACCGACAGAACTTTTATCAAAACGTCAACATTTTGCGTGTCAGACAAAACAAACAATATACGCATTATAATTTTTACAGGCGTGTTTGCGTTCTTCAGGAGAAGGTTAAAATCCGCGAAAATTTGCATGAATTTTCTATGGGATATTTCGTTTATGATTTTATTATCGAATTACGCTATTCCAATGGCCAACAATTTTTTTTTCCGAAATGAGTAGTTTTCATCATGGTCAGATATCGGAAAATGTCAAGCTATCAAAATCTATGTGTTTTTAGATCACCTGGCGCAATGTGCCAAGTGAGCTTTTCTCATCACTTGGCGTCCATCGTCCGTCGTCGTCGTCGTCCGTCGACAAAAATCTTCTTCTGAAACTACTGGGCCAAATTTAACCAAACTTGGCCACAATCATCGTTGGGTTGTATCCGATGACCCCGCCTGCCAACCAAGATGGTCGACATGGCTAAAAATAGAACATAGGGGTAAAATGCAAGTTTTATCGTTTATTTTGAAAACCGTTTTAAATAGAGAAAATCTGACAACAGCAAAAATGTTCAGAATTTTGAGCTCTACCAGTTGTTTATATACGTCAAAACTGTCAGACGACTTTTATAGGAGTTATTGCCGCTAAATGACAAATTTTACCTTTTTTCATGTTTGCCTATTATCTTGAAAACTATAATAGAGAAACTTTAAATTGCAAAAATGATCAGCAAGACAGGTTCTACAAATAAGTTTGATAGTCGAAATCGTCAGACGACTCCTTATTAGATGATGATTTTTACCATTTTTTTTACGTTTTTGCCTGATATCTTAAATATTATAATAGATAGATGGAAACTTAAATAAGCAAAAATGACCAACAAGACAAGATCTACTATTAAAACTGATGGAGGAAAACGTCCGACAACTCCTTATTGGAGTTATTGCCCCTTAATGATGACTTTTACCATTTTCTTTTTGCGATTTTCCTTATGTTGATAAAATTATAAAAAATAAATAGACACTTTGAACCACAAAAATTATCAAGGCAAGATTTACTAACAAGTCAAAATTTTGGTGATATAGTTAGAAGACTGTCACTCTTTATAGGAGTGATTGCTCTTAATTGGGGATTTTTTTTACCCTCTTTTGTGTTTTGAAGAAAAACTAAAGAAGATAGAGAGAAACTAAACAGACTAAATGATCAGCAATACAAGATCAACAAAACAGAGATTTTTGTCATGAATTCTGTTCTGTTCTGTTTTGACTGTTACATCGTTTCGGAATGCTTTTAATGTCTTTTCGAAATCAAATCCAAAGGTTTTCTAATTCATTATTTGTATGTTTTTATTGTATTTTATTATTTTTTAAATACTTTTAAAACAAAACGTTCACTTCGACCTCATTGATTTTAAGATAAGAGAAAAAAAACAGAATAAAATACACCCATATGTTATATGCAAATGATTTAACAAACATAACAAAAACAAGAAATACATATTTTTTTAAGAAATGAACCTAACAAAATAGAATATAGAACAATTTGTCAATAAAAAGTAACTCAATTATTCTTCAACTTAAACCCGATGACCAGAATCACAAAATACACCAACTTAAATCAACACAATCCGATTCGAAACTAATACTCCAAGACCTATCGTGATACAACTGTGATAACTGTTTGAATGGAGAGATAAGCGGTTGTGAGAAAATGCAAATAAAATCATCATCGATATTAGAAATGATTTTGCTGGAAACAAAAAAATGCCCTAAACTGTAAGCTACTCAAATTCTAGTACAAAATTTAAGACATTACCGGTATAAATGAGATCTTACCGAAAACGCCGTTGAAAAAAGAAAAGGTGGTTATGGTTTAACAGAGGATCCAAATTATGAACAAAACCTTTTAAACGTAATATCAAGACCATATGATAGTGAACAAAGTTTATATAATAACTGATGCTGTTCGTTCTACCGAGTTTTGAAAGTTGTCAAAGTTGTCTGTTGGCAGAATTTGAAAGTTACTCAACAATTGTTGTAACCTGAAGAAATGCAAATGGATATAATATAAGTTTGTATTTATATTCGAATATTTTGGGCAGATCAATTATCACACATATGCATTGTTAAAACGTTTTCATAATGAATATGTGTGCACGTGGTATGTGATCTAACGTTTTATTCGGACATAAGAACTGCGTGATTGCTGTATGGTAATCAAAGGATGATTCCTTATGAAAAACATATGTTTTGTAATTATTACTTTAAGCATGTAAAAAAGAGAGTAACATTAAGTTCGTTCAGAATTTTATACAGAACAAACAAGTTTTTTTTATTAACACATACTGCATTAGCTGTGGTTTCTGTGGACAATTAAATTTGCATTTGTATTTTAAAGTACAGGCTCTGCATTTCCTTCGGGCAATAAAGTTGTAATTGCAATGGTGTCTTGAGGACTGTGTGGTTTTAGGGGGAAACAACCTCCCGGATATAACTTTAACTGTTGATATATAAATTCGAAAAGAAATCTTCGTTTCATTCATAGATTAAAGCATCTCGACAAGGTAAGCTATTCTTTTCTTTTTCAAACAGCAATTTTGTAAAACAAAATAAGTTTCTTACTACTTCAGGTACAGTTGACCTCAGATAAAAAAAAAATTCTTTTTAGATCCATTTTGGTCATACAGCTCCTCATGTTTTCAGGTTGTGACACATCTTTGGCTTTAAAATTTTTGGGTTTGAACGTTCCTGATGAAGGTAAATACAGAGAGGCGCTCTGAACGCTCGATTTATAAAGTGGTATTTACTATCATTGGGTCAATACTACTGCTTGTGGACTGTAAGTTCCAGTCGGTTTCGTCAGCGCAGTAGTCAGATACTGAAATGATTTATCGCATACTTTTCTAAAATTCTCCGTTGAAAAATTAAGAAATTATTTAAAAAACTAAGGTTCCAACTCTATAAAATAGACCTGACATTAGTTGAGTTTGGCTATTTTTTTATTTTCCAGGGGAACTTTTGGAAATATGGTGTAAAACACATTTTGCGTTATCAAAATGTTATTGGTATACCTTATTGATCTTATCTACGAACTAAGTTGTAGTGAAAAAAAAACACTTCACAGCACTTATATGGAAAACCAATTAAAAAAAATTTTCGGGCGGGAATCCTCTAGACCAAAAGCTTGAGGCGGGCCGCCGATTTTGGAGATTTTATCAATTATCCCAACAACAAAAATCTTCGGGCGGGAAGCCTCTAACCCGATAGCTTGTGGCGGGAATCCTCTAAACCAAAAGAAATAAAAATCTGCGGTAAAGCGGCTTTTAATGCTGAACATTATTTCATGCTAAACTCAAACTTAGAGTGCATGATAATAATCTGCAGGCGGGATTGATAATAATCTGCGGGTGGGATTAATAATAATCTGCGGGCGGGAATTTACAGGCCGCCGATTAATTATTGTTAATGCATTTCTTATGGGGAAAATAAAAATAATCGGGGGGTTCATTGCGGCTTTCCGAGCCGTAATTTTCTAAAGAAAAACAGCATTCGTCACATGAAGTTGCTTTAAATAGAGCCTTTCTTATCTTTTACACAAAATTTTTCGCAAAACCCTTTTTTTCTTCAGATCAACCAATACAAGATGCATTGTTTATGTCCTATCTTACTTGCATTTGCACTTGTGGGGTATTCCTATGGAGCTACCAAAACAAAGTGCCAAGTTGTACAAGCATTACGCAATCAGGGCGTACCAGACAGTGATCTTAGAGACTGTGAGTATAATTAAGAGCTTATCGGTCCCCGATGAATAGGTGCAATGGGCTCCCGGTATTATATTATTTATAAAATCAATGATATTGCGAATTTTTGCACCTGGTCATGCAGAACCAAATGGATAAGAGTTTAATTTCAATAAACGTTGAGGCACCGACAATTCATCTTGTCTGTGTTTGCTGGTTTTGGTTGGTGTCGGATTGAGGTAAGTGCCATTGCTTATTTTTCTGGGAAAACACTTTTTTCAATCAAATTATTTTTTTCAATAGTACACTGAAACCAGATCTGTATAAATCGATGTTTTTTTTACTATTTTTCGATAGAAAAAAACTATTTATAATGTTCCTTTTCTGAGACATTTTTTTGAAGAAATTTAGATTCGAATAGTGCAAACACTATTATAAATTTAACAAATATTTTTAAATTATAAAAATTTTACTTTGTTAAGTGTCAAGGAAATGGAAAAAAAATACAAATTGAAGTGAAATTTGCATGTTAACAATTATGGTAGTACAGTGTTATTTTATTATTCAAACGCAAATAATTTGTACCGATGATTCATCGCGCATGCATGTATCGCAGTTGTAATATATATTTGGTTTTACCAATAATGTGAATTTTGAAAGTTATATATCATTAAATTTAGCTTTAAAATTAAAAAAAAAATAATGGAATCGTAAGGAAATGACATTCCATTTGTTTTTGTTTTGTACGGTTTAAAAATAAACCACTACACTCAAACATGCAAGAAGGTCAACGTAAAAAATGTACCATACGACTTGATTTTATCCCAATTAAAAAATAATGCCGATGCGGAAGGAAGAGATTAATTTACTGCTTTTACCAAATCAATATTCCGTTCCTTGGAATGTTGGTCAGTCGAATCTATGAACACCAAAACTTCATTTTCTGTACAATTTATTCTTGAAAACCACTGTTACAAATCCCCATTCAAACCAATACAGCTATTATCTCAGATATAACCAGTCACAAACTTTTCAGACCAGCTCGCAATGGAAAAGATAAGAATGAACAATTCCTTTGCCAACATGTCTCGATGCCATCAACTTGGACAATAACCTTCATCATACATCAGTCCACTCAAAATTACTAACACCTTTAAAGACCAGTCTCTACCTATCATCTCTTAAACCTATTCGACTAACATTTTCCATTACGAGTGTTGCAGGATCTCAATATTGATGACTTCAAGTCTGAACCTCCCGATTGCACTTGTACTAGTTCCCCATTCATATATAATCCGGCTTGCCACGTTTTAACTGGCGACCTTAAATAAAGGCAGCAGTACTATACCGCTGTGCAAAAGTCATAAATCGATTGAGAGAAAACAAATCCTGGTTACAAACTAAAACCGAGGAAGACACATCAACTATAAGATGAAAACAACGGAACAACAGAAACACTGTCAATAACATCTCTCTATCAAATGCGTTATCCGAAGGCCCAACATATAGGGAGACTAAATCAATCAATTGGAAACACAACTTCAAAATACTGATGGATTCAGTCGCGGATTATGCCAGGCATAGGTATAAAGACGTAGATACTCTTTCCGAATGGGTTAAGGCTATGAGGTCGATGATACATATATGATACATTCTGCTTGATAGCAGAATCAGGTATTGACAATTCACTTTGAAACTCCACGACACTTACCAAGGAGTAAATCCTGAATGATCATAGGTTTGTTCTATGTTCCCTTGGAATTTCGACCAAAGATGAATAACTGGATTTTCCTTCACTGTATTGGGTACCTAAATTGCATAAGTGGTTAAAAATTAATCGGCTTTCCCATGGGAACCAACTGTGATCCTCTTCTTATCGACTTGTTCCTTTAGTTAGATGAGACCGACGTCATACAGGAGCTTCTGAGGAAAAATGGGAAAAAATCTAAAATAGCCTTTGACTTCACGTTATCTTTATAGAGTATGTCCTCTCGCTGAATAATTCAAAGTTTGGTGACTATATTTGATGCATCTTTCCCATCGAACTTGAAATAAAGGATACAACAGTTACTATTAATATAAAAATAAGGAGATGTTGTATGATTGCCAATGAGACAACTATCCACCAAAGTTCAAATGAAGAAGATGTAATCAATTATAGGCAACCGTACGGCCTTCAACAATGAGAAAACCCATACCGAATAAACTACTACAAAAGGCCCCGACATGAAAAATATGAAACTATTCAATTGAGAAAACTAACGGCCTAATTAATTTAAGTCTGTTAAGTCTGTCGAGTATCTTTACGTGCATCTAGAAATTGACATTGACGGTCGGTTGAGAAAAATATTTACAATAAAAGAGATGCTTCCAATTTCCTAAATGTGAAATTTCCATTTTTATGTAGCATCATTTTAGCAGCGCCTGCATATGGACTATATATCTCACAGTTGATAAAATATACCAGAGATTGCATTTCCTATCACGATTTCCTTGATAGAGGGTTGCTTGTTACATGGAAGCTATCAAACCAAGTATTCCAAGTGGTAAAGTTGAAGTAATCCTTTGACGAAAGAAATTACGAGTTGGTTGACCTTATGGAATATATGTTTCACAGATGACGACGGATGTTTTCCTAATATCGTTACCACAATCTCGACCTATTTTCCTCGAATGTGATCTACCGAATTAAACTCGGGTTTGTACTTACATGGGCAACATGACGGGTGCCACACGTGGAGCAGGATCTGCTTACCCTTCCGTAGCACCTGATATCACCCCGGTTTTGATGGGGTTTGTGTTGTTCATACTTTCGTTTTCCATGTTATGTTTTGTATACCGTTGTTTGTCGTTTTGTCGTTTTCCTTTTTTTGCCATGACATTGTCAATTCGATTTCGACTTATGTGTTTGACTATCCCTTTGGTATCTTTCGCCTAACTTCTTAACCAACATTGTTTTGCCCCTAGCCATTATGTTATGTGACTATGAATATGAGTTTTGTACTATGATATGAGTATGTCTACCCGTAACCATAAATTGACCAGATAATAAGGTTGACCTTAGATATCTCCAAGAATTGGCACATCAACCTTCATTTTTTCCTCTTCAGGTCAAATATGCAGTCTTGAAAGAATTTCTTTCCAATATTATAGGAAGAAACAAAAAACGGTATTTTTTCTGCTGCTATTTCTTTTGTAACCAGTAAGATGTCAAAATCCTTTATTGCACATATGATTGTGTGATTGAGATTAGTACTGTTTGTTATGAATATATGACGTTAATGCTTCCAAACTCAAGAAGCCTTTTAAAAAAACTGAAGGAAATTACCGCTTTCTAAAAAGTAACTAGATTTAAATTGTATCGCATTTCTTTATTAATTCAAAGTGTCAAACGTTTCAAAGACCAGGCTACTCAGTGAAACAAATTTCAAAATTACTAAGGAAAAGAATATTTAAATCATAGTATTCTGGTAGAAACTTTCAAGGGGGATAGTTATTCCAAAAAGAAATCTATTGTTTGTGGGGTTTTGGCAATACTTTTATCCATATTGATTATGTCAGCGTTTCGCCGTTTGTATCAGAATTTTAATTTCAAATATGTTGACCTTTGAGTATAATTGAAGATACACTAGTTGTCGAAATGCACATCTTGTGCAGTAAATTTGGTGCCATTTACTTTTTTGTAGTATTTCAACTCTCCGAGATCTCAAAGGCAAGGTTGTTTACAAATGTACCACTACTTAATTTCAATTCCTATTAATTAAGGAATCAACCAAAATATTAATATAAATTTTCAGGGCTGTGTTTGGTAAAACACGAAAGTAACTATGTATATGATGTAGTACCAACAAACCCAAATGGTTCAAAGGATTATGGTATATTCCAGTTCAACAATAACTTCTCATGTGGGAAATCAGGAGGCACCAGTTCCACAATTTGTTGGAGAATTAATACATTCGGCTGTGCCGACACTTGTAACTGTAAGTACAGTTAAATATGGTAGCTAGATACTACGAGCGTAAAACAATACCGCACATTCTTTTTAATGGCTATTGTGACGTTTCAAACTCTTTTCCTTTGACAATTATGAAAATAAACGTGCGTATTCTTCGATCTTTTGAATGCTAAATATTGATCTATCGACCAAAAATCCTTACTCTAGGTTTGTAAGTCCATTGTTTTTTGAATTTACATGTATCTATACTATGTACAAACAGTACATTTCATCTCCGATTTAGAAGAAATAGAAACCAAACATCTAAACCATAATGATAACGTTATATTCATTAAAGTTGATAGCGATATCATAAGTAGTAGAAGTTCCTCTATTGTGTGTTTTCCTTGTGGTAGTGAAAACTGATATTCTTGACAGTTGTTACTTTGTTAAACATGCCAACCTTTTTTTTTTAATTCTAAATAAACTCATCATAGATACCAGGATTAAAATTTGGCACGCCAGACATATGTTTCGTCTACAAAAAGACTCATCAGAAGGCCCTCGAATCAAAAAAGTTAAACAGTTCAAATAAAGTACGAAATTGAAGAGCATTGCAAGCCCTAAATTCCGAAAGGTTTTGCAAAATACGGCTAAGGTAATCTATTCCTAGGGTAGAAAGTCCTTAGCATTTCGAAAAAAAATCATGTATTTTAAACATGATTCATAATGATGACCATATCAATGATAATTCATATCAAAACCGACTACTGGGCTGGTGATACACTCGGGGAGGAAACCTCAACCAGCAGTGACACCAACCCAGTGGTTGTAAATAAACTCGTCATAGATAGCAGGATTGAAATTGTGTACGTCCGACGCGCGGTTCATCTACAAAAGACTCATCAGTGACGCTCGAATCAAAAAGTTAAAAAGGCCAAATAAGGTACAAAGTTGAAGAGCATTGATGGCCAAAACTTCCGAAAGGTTTTGCGAAATACAACTACGGTAATCTATTCTTGGGATAGAACATCCTAAGTATTTCGAAAATTCAAAGTTTTGTAAACAGAAATAATTTATAATTATGACCATGTCAATGATAATTCATGTCAAAACAGAAGTGCTGTATACTGGGCTGATGATACCCTCGGACATCGACCCAGTGATTAATTTATCGTTGTGTTGGTGTTTAACTGACGAATATCCAACAGCTCTTTTAAATCATTCATTTTACGGGAGTAATTTTGGAGACTCAATTTGAACTTTATGACCAAAATTCCAAACCATATCGTACATAAAATTTGGTTCGTAACAAACGATTATGTGATATAAATATATATTCTGGCATATTTATGTAGGACTTGCGATGGTACTCCGAACCGCGATGGTCACGCTGAAGTGCGTTGGTTAACACGCTGAGGTACGGTGGTGACATTGTGATGCTAACTTGTTGATAGCTACGCTGAAGTGCGATGGTCTAACTGTGACGTTGACGTTTATTGTTACGATGAAATGTGATGGTGTATGCTAGCTAAAATGCAATGGTCTGAAGTAGGAACAACATTTAATGTAATGTGGTGGTGTAGTGGTTAGTGGGCTAGCCTTGCATTTGGAAGGTCGATTTTGATTTCTGGTCAGGTGAAACAAAGGACTTTAAAACTTAAATTTTCTAATTCTCCGCCTAGCAGGCAGCAGTATGGAGCCAGAAAATAAACTGGATGGCTCTGATTAAGTATAATGGATTTGAGAGGGATGACATATCTTTATATGGAGTGTCCAAATGCGAAAAAAAAATAAGCGTGTCGGTCTATAGTAGTAAGCAGGGTCAATCTCATTTTATCAAATGTTATTTGTTTTCGTCATGTCATAGCTGATAAATTACTCACAACAATCGTTCACTCATTTTTCTGATGGATGTAACAGCTTTCAAGAGAAAAACACGCCAAGTAGATTTATGCTTGACTTTATGTCAACGTGTCACGAGTTCTACTAAAAAGCTTCGACGCTTAGTAGGGGAAATTGGGAAGAACACGCAGGGACCAGTCGGGTTTATTTCGGCCTTACTTGTGGTAGAAAATTAACACTGTAGCCACAATAAAATTAGGCTAGAGTGTCGGTGTTATTACAAAGCAGGATTTATCTCAGGAATAAAACAAAATTATTTCAACTTGATATAACAAAATCATTGCTAATAATTAATTTGATTATTTAATCGTCCACATAAAATCATGTGAAGCATGCCTGAAGAGAAGTTAAAATTAATATTTATATCAAGATATTTATTTTGTCGTACAAAATGTTTGCGGCATACCGGTACTTCCGAACACTGGTTAGCCCATTAGTTCATCTTTCAGCCGTTTTGCACGCCACGATCTGTTGCCTGGCTTGGTTTTACATATTTTTGTAACCTATATCTGCACTGCTCAAAACTGTTCTGGACTTAAACGTTCTTTACTTTATTTTTCCTCTTTTTTTCTTTGTTATCATGAAACCTTCATTTACAAAATATTATCGTCCTGCCTGCGAATTCCTGTTGTATTTAAAGTAAAGTTGTATTTGAAAACGTCACAATATTCAAGAATCATTCCAAACCATCGCACTTCAGCGAAAGGACCATCGTACTTTGGCGCGGACAATCGCATTTCAGCGTGACCGTCAGACTTCAGCGTCCCCATCGCACCTACGAGTCCTAGATATTTATTGGATATTTTTTTGCTGTACTCTGTATTGTTCACAAAGTCTTATGTCTTATATGAAGTAATGTATGACTTGTTTTAGTAAGATTTACTATATCGGACTGTTTTATTAAATATATGTCTTGTGTTTTCGTTGTAGCATTCACAGACTCAAACATATCAAACGATGCAAATTGTGCTGTGAGAATTAAAAATTGTAATAGTTTTCGTAAATGGTAAGTTAAGGTGTATGATCTCTTTCAAAAACGATATTATATTGCGGTGATCTTCATTTTCTTTACCGATAGTTGATCTTGAATGAAAACAAATTAAACATTATAAAATTGATTGTTGTCTAGGTCCCTACTTAATAGAAATACTATTGAAGTATGATCCTTCAAAAAAAATATCTTAAACTACTCTGTATTAATATAGATTGTGATTAGGTGAGTTTATGGGGAACCACTAGTAGTAGGTCAATGATATTTGGTATACAGTTGTTATATTATTTGAATATCTCATTTCCATGCAGATTATTTGGCCCTGTCCCCTCATGGTTTATTGACTTTGATAATTTTGCTTAGTTTACATGTATTACTTTGTAATCAGGTCTGTTTAGTGGGAACCACTAGTTGTAGGTCAATGATATTTGATTTACAGTTGTATTAATATTTGCACACCTCTTTTCAATGGAGATTATTTGGCACCTCTTTCTCAGTCATGGTTTATTGACTTTGAAACTTTGGCATTGTTTACAAGAAAAAGTTGTGAATATGTCAGTTAATAGGGAACTACTAGTGGAATGGTAATGATATTTGGTATGCAGTTGTATTAGTATTGGAACATTTCATTTCCATGAACATGAAAATAATTTGGCCCCGCCCTCTCACTCATGGTCTCTCGACTTTGAATATTTTGCATAGTTTACATGTTAAAGTATTGCCGTTTTAATTTCAAGATTTGCTTTGTACTATCAAAATAACATGAAGGCGAGACATATCTGTGTCAACAATTGTATTACCAAAGGAGAAGTTGTCTACCTCCATTAACTTTTATTGAACATTAATAGATATTACTGTTTATTATTAACATGACATGTAATTAACGTGATGGATAAAGATAAATACGTGGGAAAGGGGGTGATAGTCAACGGATAATTATAGGGGAGCACTAATATACGATTGTAATTCAGTTGGTCAGATGAAAAAAATGGACATACTAATTTTGTCACTTATTTAATTGTTACGTGACTTTTTTATTCCAATATTAGTAGCTATTTATTTCGTTTGTCTATTTTTAGGAATGGCTGGAAGGACCACTGTTCCAATGTCCAGGGTTCAGAATACGATTACAGTGGGTGCTAGATATCCATCTGAACATTTCATGATGAAATAAAAATGAATAAGAAACAAATGTAAAAAGTCTTTTGTAATAAAAACAAAGAAAATATTGAACCAAGAGTTCCAAGTGGTGAAGTTGATAATTTTACGGACGACATCACGAGTTGGTTGACCGTTATGGAATAGCTGATTTACAGATCCACAATCACATCTTTTTTTCCTAAAAAAAAACTACCGAATAAGACTTATCACCGGGTTTGTACTTACATGAGAAACACGACGGGTACCATGTGTGCAGCAGGATATGCTTACCCTCCCGGAGCACCTAAGATCATCACCAGTTTTTGGTAGAGTTTCGTGTTGCTCAGTCTTTAGTATTCTATGTTGTATTTTGTGTACTGTTGTTTATCTTATCGTCGTTTTTCGCTTTTTGTCATGGCATTGTCGGTTTGTTTTCGACTTATGAGTTTGATTTCTCTTAGGTATCTTTCGTTTCTCTTTATCAACGTATAGTGTACTGCACCTTCTTTAAATCATTTACGGGTATATGATACAGTCATTGACATTGATAAATTATGCACGAATCTATGTTAAATATATTTGAAGCAGATGCTCAAAAGTAATCCTCTTATTAAAAACTTACACAATATATTTGTGAAACAACACACAATAATAGAACAATTAAACAACAACGACAAGTTCAAACTGCCAAGCGATTACAAATGCTAAACAAAACAAAACAATAATGTAAATCCTATTTTAACAGAATATTAGAAACAACACATATTTAACGGATACACAATTTTCTTATAAGTTTTTGGTATAAAAAGTAAATTGCGGTTGACGAAACTTAATGCTGGTTAACAATTCTTCCGAAAAGGTATGACTTTGTTTCTTGTTTGTTTTTTTTTTTTAATTTTTGTTTGTTTGTTTTGTTTCTTGCTTCTTACAAAATTGTGTATATATCCATGTCATAATTTTCTGTAGCAAAAAAGTGAAACTAATGTTGTTGCTAGAAAACTAGATGTAGGAACAAAACCAAATTGTCATAATGAAATGTTTCTTTTATATCCTCATGGTATAATACTTTTATATGATCTCCTATTTTCATTAATAAAAAAGTGCCCATAGTTGACATTAATTTACCGTTTAGCATGGATTTAAATCAATTTAATGATTTAGAGTAAAACCTGTTGGCTTTGTGTGATCTCTTTTGATACCAAAGGGATAATAAATTGTTCAAATAAGGCCTAAAAAAATATTGGAATTAATTACTTTTGGAGTGTCAAAATTTCGTTGGAAGTACTTGATAAATTGCATGCTTATATAGGTGGTTTTGAATCTGTTCAAAGTTTTGATTTTTCTTCCCTATATACCACTTTGCCTCATATTCTTATTAAGAAAAAATTCACAAACCTAATTAAATGAGCATTTAAAAAGTCAGAATGCGAATATATATGTTCAAACTCTTTTAGGTCATTTTTTAGTAACAACAAACAAAAGAACTATGTCAATTGGACCTGCTTTGATACTATAACTGCCCTTGAATTTTTACTAGATAACATTTTTGTTCGCTTTGAAGATTCCGTATATCGTCAAGTTATCGGAATTCTAATTGGGACTAACTGTGCACCACTTATTGCGGACCTGTTTCTGTATTGTTATGAGTTACAATTTATGACTAAAATCAGCATAGACCTATCGAAACAACATCTGATTAAAAAAATTAATAACACTTTTATATATTTGGATGATATATTGGCTCTCAATAATGACGACTTCAGTATGTACACTAAAGAGATTTATCCCGCTGAACTAACTTTAAATAAAGCTAACACTAACACTGAACACTGCCCTTTCCTGGATCTTGATATCTATATCTTTAACGGGAAGCTTAATACCAAAATTTATGATAAAAGAGATGATTTTTTTATTTCCTACTGTTAATTATCGAATTTTAGATGGTGACGTTCCCTTGTCACCATCTTATGGTGTTTATATATCTCAACTTGTTCGATTCGCTCGTGTATGTAACAACGTATTTGATTTTAACGAAAGAAATATATGTATTACTGAAAAATCATTACATCAGGGTTTTCGATATCACAAACTAGTCAAAACATTTACTAAATTGTATCATCGGTACAAGGACATCATTCGTAAATATAAATCAACATGCAGACATCTTATACGTTCAGGTATTTCACATCCAATCTTTTATGGTAATATTCTTTACAAAGCACAAAAATGTCGGCATTCACCTCAAAAGCTAACCAAACTGGCCTTTAAACAGATTTATTAAGAAGGGATATAGTTACGATACTGTTGTCAGGTCATTAAAGATGGCATATTTTGGTTTTAATATTGATTCACTCATAGGGTCTTTGCATCTGAAATAAACACATTTATTCTAAAACTAGTTGTTGGCATGATACGGGTTATGTTCTTCTCATATATTGTATGATGGTATGATACTAAACCCCTAACAGGAGGGATTGTGCTTGATTTTCATATGATGAAGACATAATCTTTCAATCAGTTTAATTGAGGTCTGGATCTGGCATGTCAGTAACTGCTAGTAGTCCTTTGATAATTTATGTATCATTGTCATTTTACTTAGTTTCTTTTGTTACCTATTCTGACATCGGACTCGGACTTCCCTTCAATTGAGTTTTACTGTGCGTATTGCTGTGTGTTTGTTTTTGTTTCTACATTGGCTAGAGGTATAGGGGGATGGTTGAGATCTCACAAAACATTTTTGCGCCTGTCCCAAGTCAGGAGCCTCTGGCCTTTGTTAGTCTAGTATGATTTTTAATTTTAGTTCATTTATATGTTTTGGAGTTTAGTATATTGTCCATTATCACTGAACTAGTACACATTTTTGTTTAGGGGCCAGCTGAAGCACGCCTCAGGGTGCGGGACTTTCACGCTGTGTTGAAGACCCATTGGTGGCCTTCGGCTGTATTCTGCTCTTTGGTTGGGTTGTTGTCTCTTTGACAGATTCCCCATTTCCATTCTCAATTTTATTCAAACACACAAGTCGAAAATAAACTGACAATTTAACGCCATGGCTAAAATAGAAAAAGACAAAAAGACAAACAACAGCACACAAAGCATAACTTATTAAACTAAAGACTGGGCAACACGAACCCCAACAAAAACTGAGGTGATCTCATGTGCTCCGGAAGGGTAAGCAGAATATGCTCCATAGGTGGCACCCGTCTTGTTGCTTATGTAAATACAAACCCGGTGATAAGTATAATTCGGTAGGTCACATTCGAGGAAAAGTGGCCGGAATTGTAGTTACGACAATTTGAACATATCCGTCGTCATCTGTGAAACAGATATCCCTAACGGTCAACCAACTCGTGATTGCGTCCGTACAATTTACTAAGGGGTTATTTCGACTTCACCACTTGTAACTCTAAGTTTAATAACCTCCTTGTGAGCAGCAACCCTCTATCAAGAAAATCGTGATAGGAAATACAAGCCCTGAAATAATGTATCAACTGGGAGATGTATACTACGTATGCTGGCGCTTCTGGAACGCTGCTACATAGAAATGGAAAGTTCACAATTGGGAAGCTGAAATCATCTCTTTCGTCGCAAAGTTTTGTTTTCAACCGACCCTCATTGTCAATTTCTAGATGTATGTCAAGTTATGAGACAGACTCAACTGTATCTGTTGTATCCTTTATCTCAAGTTCGATGGGATAGATGCGTTCAACATAGTCACCAAATTTTGAATTATCTAGTGAGAGAACATCATCTATATAGCGGAAAGTTAAGTGAAAGGATATTGCTAACTTCTCTTTTTTCTTCCTTAGAAGTTCCTGTATGAAGTCAGCTTCATATGAATAAAAGAACAAGTCAGTAAGGAGCACAGTTGGTTCCCATGTAATTTGCCATTTGACATTAAATTCAAAGCACCAACACGACATCATAAAATACCCTAACTGTTTGGAGAATTCTTAGAATGACCTTTTATGAGGCTTGATTTCGTACCCTAGCAAATACTTCTCGTACTTTAGTCGCAGTCAAAACTTTGGCACCCTCTGCCCGGTCAAACCACATTTACCAATATTTCATAACTTCTTTTCGTTCTGAATATACATGAAATGATGCTCTAAACAGTTCCTAATCAACGTTAATAAAAAAAAAATGTTTCATACGCACCAAAATTATAAATTGTAATTTTCATTTTCCAAATTTTGATTTTTTATTTTACACATTTCCTTTTGCTCTCTGCTTTTAAACTTAGTGTGACATGTTAACACATAAAGTCAGAATGCGAATATATATGTTCAAACTCTTTTAGGTCATTTTTTAGTAACAACAAACAAAAGAACTATGTCAATTGGACCTGCTTTGATACTATAACTGCCCTTGAATTTTTACTAGATAACATTTTTGTTCGCTGTGATTCCGTATATCGTCAAGTTATCGGAATTCTAATTGGGACTAACTGTGCACCACTTATTGCGGACCTGTTTCTGTATTGTTATGAGTTACAATTTATGACTAAAATCAGCATAGACCTATCGAAACAACATCTGATTAAAAAAATTAATAACACTTTTATATATTTGGATGATATATTGGCTCTCAATAATGACGACTTCAGTATGTACACTAAAGAGATTTATCCCGCTGAACTGACTTTAAATAAAGCTAACACTAACACTGAACACTGCCCTTTCCTGGATCTTTATATCTATATCTTTAACGGGAAGCTTAATACCAAAATTTATGATAAAAGAGATGATTTTTTTATTTCCTACTGTTAATTATCGAATTTTAGATGGTGACGTTCCCTTGTCACCATCTTATGGTGTTTATATATCTCAACTTGTTCGATTCGCTCGTGTATGTAACAACGTATTTGATTTTAACGAAAGAAATATATGTATTACTGAAAAATCATTACACCAGGGTTTTCGATATCACAAACTAGTCAAAACATTTACTAAATTTTATCATCGGTACAAGGACATCATTCGTAAATATAAATCAACATGCAGACATCTTATACGTTCAGGTATTTCACATCCAATCTTTTATGGTAATATTCTTTACAAAGCACAAAAATGTCGGCATTCACCTCAAAAGCTAACCAAACTGGCCTTTAAACAGATTTATTAAGAAGGGATATAGTTACGATACTGTTGTCAGGTCATTAAAGATGGCATATTTTGGTTTTAATATTGATTCACTCATAGGGTCTTTGCATCTGAAATAAACACATTTATTCTAAAACTAGTTGTTGGCATGATACGGGTTATGTTCTTCTCATATATTGTATGATGGTATGATACTAAACCCCTAACAGGAAGATTGTGCTTGATTTTCATATGATGAAGACATAATCTTTCAATCAGTTTAATTGAGGTCTGGATCTGGCATGTCAGTAACTGCTAGTAGTCCTTTGATCATTTATGTATCATTGTCATTTTACTTAGTTTCTTTTGTTACCTATTCTGACATCGGACTCGGACTTCCCTTCAATTGAGTTTTACTGTGCGTATTGCTGTGTGTTTGTTTTTGTTTCTACATTGGCTAGAGGTATAGGGGGATGGTTGAGATCTCACAAAACATTTTTGCGCCTGTCCCAAGTCAGGAGCCTCTGGCCTTTGTTAGTCTAGTATGATTTTTAATTTTAGTTCATTTATATGTTTTGGAGTTTAGTATATCGTCCATTATCACTGAACTAGTACACATTTTTGTTTAGGGGCCAGCTGAAGCACGCCTCAGGGTGCGGGACTTTCACGCTGTGTTGAAGACCCATTGGTGGCCTTCGGCTGTATTCTGCTCTTTGGTTGGGTTGTTGTCTCTTTGACAGATTCCCCATTTCCATTCTCAATTTTATTCAAACACACAAGTCGAAAATAAACTGACAATTTAACGCCATGGCTTAAATAGAAAAAGACATAAAGACAAACAACAGCACATAAAGCATAACTTATTAAACTAAAGACTGGGCAACACGAACCCCAACAAAAACTGAGGTGATCTCATGTGCTCCGGAAGGGTAAGCAGAATATGCTCCATAGGTGGCACCCGTCTTGTTGCTTATGTAAATACAAACCCGGTGATAAGTATAATTCGGTAGGTCACATTCGAGGAAAAGTGGCCGGAATTGTAGTTACGACAATTTGAACATATCCGTCGTCATCTGTGAAACAGATATCCCTAACGGTCAACCAACTCGTGATTGCGTCCGTACAATTTACTAAGGGGTTATTTCGACTTCACCACTTGTAACTCTTGGTTTAATAACCTCCTTGTGAGCAGCAACCCTCTATCAAGAAAATCGTTATAGGAAATACAAGCCCTGAAATAATGTATCAACTGGGAGATGTATACTACGTATGCTGGCGCTTCTGGAACGCTGCTACATAGAAATGGAAAGTTCACAATTGGGAAGCTGAAATCATCTCTTTCGTCGTAAAGTTTTGTTTTCAACCGACCCTCATTGTCAATTTCTAGATGTATGTCAAGTTATGAGACAGACTCAACTGTATCTGTTGTATCCTTTATCTCAAGTTCGATGGGATAGATGCGTTCAACATAGTCACCAAATTTTGAATTATCTAGTGAGAGAACATCATCTATATAGCGGAAAGTTAAGTGAAAGGATATTGCTAACTTCTCTTTTTTCTTCCTTAGAAGTTCCTGTATGAAGTCAGCTTCATATGAATAAAAGAACAAGTCAGTAAGGAGCACAGTTGGTTCCCATGTAATTTGCCATTTGACATTAAATTCAAAGCACCAACACGACATCATAAAATACCCTAACTGTTTGGAGAATTCTTAGAATGACCTTTTATGAGGCTTGATTTCGTACCCTAGCAAATACTTCTCGTACTTTAGTCGCAGTCAAAACTTTGGCACCCTCTGCCCGGTCAAACCACATTTACCAATATTTCATAACTTCTTTTCGTTCTGAATATACATGAAATGATGCTCTAAACAGTTCCTAATCAACGTTAATAAAAAAAAAATGTTTCATACGCACCAAAATAATAAATTGTAATTTTCATTTTCCAAATTTTTATTTTTTATTTTACACATTTCCTTTTGCTCTCTGCTTTTAAACTTAGTGTGACATGTTAACACATAAAGGATTCATACAGCCAAGAGATTAAGCAGTTAATCAAAAAAGGAAATCTCAGAGGGAATCACACGAACGAAACTATCTCAAATCAAAAGTAACGAAACTGGCCTTCGATCAAATAAGATGATGAATGTACTGAAACCAAAAGAACTAAAGCTATACATGGTCAAGCAAACTGTTTACCAATTATTTGTGACGGAAGGGGTTTCAAAATGAGTTGTTTCTTCACTGACCAGATTAGACATGTTTAAGTTCTAGATTTCAAGGTTGAAAACTTATTAATGTCTAATTTCGTCATACAATGGGCATGTATAAGATTTCCCTGATTTCAAGGTCGAAAATCTATTAAAACCATTCACGCGTTCAATTACGAACAATATGCATACAAAATGTATTAGTTCTTGGAGCATGTCTCGATCTGAAATAACAAACAAAGTTTTATAAGTTTCTCATGATCATTCTTTTCGTTTAAGCTTTATTTGTTTACTCATTGTTATTAGTATTTGAAGGTATCAGCAGGATGTAGATATTTATCAAATTTAATACATTAGCAAAGGTAACTAAGTGGCATTGGGTCCTCTAAGAGTGAATTGTAAAATAAATTGCAAAAAGATTTTTTTTTTATCAATGGTCGTCAAACAGGGTGCATTTATGACTGCATTGCGGAAAAATAAATTATGAGATTTTTATTTTCCAAAAAAAAGTAATATAGATAAAACATGAAGTGTATTGTTTTTTTCTGGAATACCTCCCTCTATCAAGCTAAAACCTGTTCCCCTGGCCTCAAACAATTAAGTTGTTATTGTGATCCGGTGTACGTGGGTTGTTGGAAATTCACTACCGGATATTATTGTAGTATATATAGTCGGGTAGAAATCTTTGTTTTTATACTTAAAAGATTCATAAAGGTAAGCTAAACGTTTTGATTTTAAATATATAAATAAGGAGATGTGGTATGATTGCCAATGAAACAACTATCCACCAAATTTCAAATGAAGTGGGTGTAAGCAACAATGAGAAAAACTTATACCGTATAGTCGGCTATAAAAGGCCCCGACATAAAAAATATGAAACAATTCAATTGAGAAAACTAACGGCCTAATAACATATCAATTTACGAAAAGCAAATATGCCAGACATGAACCAACGACAACCACTGAACTACAGGATCCTGACTTGGGACAGGCACATATATAATGTGACGGAGTTAGACAAGTTTGCTGGCGCCAAACCCTCCTCTTAACCTGGGACAGTGGTGTAACAACTATGCAAAGCAATAAACGAATAACAAATATCAGAAAACCACTCATTTACATGCTCCTGACTTGGGACAGGCACATATACAATGTGGTGGGGTTAAACTAGTTTGCTGGCGCAAATAGTTGGTGTGTAATGATAAATCGTTTTATATAAATATGTTAGCTAAAAAATTAGTGTCAATAATGTTAGATGTGCAACTAGCATGATGGCTTAATATTAAAGACAAATGTACAAATTAGCTGCATTTATCATGTAAAAGTGTTGCATAAAAATACATTTGGTATATTAATTTTATTTTCTCAGCGAGAACAAGATTCGGTTATATGACGCTACCGTTAGGCCATTATAAAAATATTCTAGATTCTCATGAAGCTGTTTTTAAAAATATATGTTTTCTCTATTTTTTACCATTTTGGCGAAAAAATGTAGCAAAATAAAGAAAATAACCAGAAATTCTTTTTTCTTTTTTTTGTTTTTTTTGTTCTCAAAAAGTCGTGGCGAGGAATAAAAATCTAAGATTACTGTAATTGTTACATTTTTTCCCACAAAACCCTTTTGCAGGTCAGCGAATACAAGATGCATTGTTTGTGTCCAATAATACTTGTCTTTGCACTGGTGGGGTATTCCTATGGAGCTACCAAAACAAAGTGCCAAGTTGTACAAGCATTACGCAATCAGGGCGTACCAGACAGTGATCTTAGAGACTGTGAGTATGATCAACAGCTAATCGGTTCTAGGTGAATATTGATAATGGTTATTGTGGCGCATTGCATATCATATGACAATGCATCTGTTTTTGGAAAATTTGCATGTTTAATTTACTTCAAAAAAAGCAGAACTAATACAGTTTCTTGCTAAGAACGATTTTCACAATATTAAAATATATATTTTCTTATTCACTGCAATTTCACACACACTTTGATACGGGTTTGTTCTAAGTTTCTGATCTTAATATGTATGCCGCCACAGAATCTCTGAATATTACCTCTTGGGAGAATTTAGAAATCAAAAGTGCATACAAAATGCAGCATTTACAAAGTAAACGCGGATATCTGTATCATGACTGAGAGTGGATATTTCCAAACTCAATAACAACATGTGCAATCTAAATTATATAGTTTTCAGTTTTAACGTATTCCTGAAGTAAGACAATTTTTTTTTTTTTTTAGAACATATTTAGGGCATGCTGTAAGTATTGTCTGTCAGTCAGTGTGTAAAGCTGGCTTCAGTGAACCCAATCACGTTGTGCGTGTGTACCCAGTTAGACTATTTGGCTCATATATTGTTCGATGATTTTTGTACGTCTATTTTGTTCGAAGGAGACGGATGTTAGTAGCTGGTGCGGTCTGCTGTACTGACAATTGTATTTGATAATTCCTTTCAGGGCTGTGTTTGGTTAAACACGAAAGTAACTACAAATATGACGCAGTAGGTACAAATTCCAATGGTTCGAAAGATTATGGTATATTCCAGATGAACAGTAACTACTTTTGCGGAAGGCCAAGCGGCACTAGTTCCTCCACATGTTGGCGAGTTAATACCTACGGCTGTGCCGACACTTGCAACTGTGAGTACAACTTGATATGCTAGCTATATAAGTTTATAATCTTTATATCTTGTGTAAAAACATATCGAGTAGAATTGATATCGAATACTGGTCGGAACCTTAATAACTGAATATGAACAACCATATCAGTTTGTTGTAACTTACGTCATACTATGCAAAGCGCTTTTGTAGATTGTTAGTTGATAACATCTTTTATATCTATTTACATATATGTCTTAAATATTCAATTTGGTATACAGGGTATAAATGAAAAAAAACACTGTATAAATTGTATACGGCCGAAGCGCTTTTTTGGATTTACCTTCCCCCAGGAACGCTCAAAGCCGAATATTTGAAAGGCAAGGATGTGTAAGAACCAAAAGAGTTGAAGAGCTAACTTATATGACCAAAAAGGACCTAAAAATAATAACCAAATCCATCTAAGGTCAACTTTACCTGAGAGAGTTGAAACCTTAGTTTCTTGATAATTTCTAATTTATAAACGGACATTTTTAGAAAGTTTTGTTGTAAATCATGCCAGGACCGAAGTATTGACTACTGAGCTGATGATACCCTCGGGAAGTGATAGTCCACCAGCATCAGTATCGATCCAAGGCTGTAAAAATGAAAACAACTCTTTATAAATACATGTTAATATTTATTCATTTATTTATTTGTTCATTAATTATATCTTTTTGTGTCTTGAATATGATTGTATTGCACTTATATATATGACTTGCTATTATCTATGTATCGTTTTGAAAATCTGTATATAAATAAGGAGATGTGGTATGAGAATATTTTACCTTACAGAATTTACATTTACATGTTATTTGTTTTCTTGTTGCAGCATTCACTAACTCGGACATATCAAACGATGCAAATTGTGCCGTCAGGGTTAAAAATTGTGGGGGTTTTGGCAAATGGTAAGTTTAGGTTTATTGTTTGTTTTGAGGAAGATATAAAACGGTGTATATAGTGATCCTGATTTATGAAAAAAAAAATCAATCTTTTCATTTAATCGGATCTGTTTGATGTCTTATATTACACACACCACGAAAAAATTAAATGCTATTCTGTATTTGTCTTTTTTTTCTCTTAGATCTAAAGCATTACGTATTCAATTTCATTTTAATCAAACATAAGTTATTCAACGTTTATTTATTATTAAAAGAGCCCAGAAAGTGTAATAAAATGTGATAAACTAAACATTTAAAAAAGAAGGGGCTTTCCAATCATTATGTAGCTGTAAGGAACACAGAGTTAGCATTATTATTTAGTAACCATAAGTTTATAACCCATACAATACGTGTTCATTGATTTATTTGTTATGTTACATGTTTGTTTATTGATTTCAATGATGCATACATTTCTCATCTTGGAGGTCTTTCTTTTTAGGTATGGTTGGAGATATCACTGTTCCAATGTCCAGGGTTCAGAATACGATTACAGCTCATGTTAAATATTTTGGACGTTTCACAATAAAATAACATTCAAAAGAAGACAAATAGATTTTTCAGCAGACTTATATTAAAATTGTATCTTCCGCATATTCATCACATGAAACTGTGCCTTTGGTCATGCACTTACAACTACCACTTCCCCCTTCCCAATTGAGCATGGGCTAACGAACCACAAAGAAAACCAAAACTATCCAACGTAAACTGCATATGCTAAACAATGAAGATTAAATTAAATAAGATATAATGTTTGATATTTTTCAGGTTATAGAATAAACATGCGTCTGTCCCAAGTAAGGAACCTCTAGCCTATCTTAGTCTTGTGGTTTTTTAAATTTTGGTTCATTTATATGTCTCGGAGTTAAGTGTGGCGTCCATTTCGCTGAACTAGTATACATTATTGTGTAGTGGTCAGCTGAAGCCCACCTCCGGTTGCGGGATTTTCTCGCTGTGTTGAAGACCCATTTGTGGCCTTTGGCTGTTTTCTGCTCTTTGGTCGGGCTGTTGTCTCTTTGACACATTACCCGTTTTCATTCTCAGTTCTAACATTTAAAATATATCAGTTGTTGTGACAAAAACGACACACCAAAATCAGATCACAATAAAAGCGTTGAAAAATATCTAGATTCCAGAAATAGTTTTTCCTTTTAAACGTCTTACCTTTTATTCCTAATTTCCTCTTCGAAGAGTTCTTAATGTGGACTAGTTTCCAGTTAGGATTCCTATTTTTAGTATTATATAGTATTCACAAAGGAAATGTGACAAACAAAACAGTAAAAAATAAACGGCTTATTTATTTTAGTAAGGATTAAAGCATATGCGAAACTTAAGGTGTCAAGCTAACAAATTAAAAACAACAGTAGTTCACAGATGCTCAAATCTCATAGGTCCATAAAGAAAATACAAATCAAAGAAACTGACAGCGAAAAAACAGAGACAATCACAAGAACTATGAAAGTAGCGAGACAGGATGCCTCAACACTCTTGCTATGCACGCATCGCCATCCATGCGAATTTTTATTCAGTCAAAAGGTCACAATCGGGGATAAGACATAAGAGGTAAATTTACAGATCAATGAGACGACTATTCTGTAATCTAAAGATCTAAGACCACGAAAACATGTCGCTGGTGAGTTCAAACACAGTCGTTTCCTCATAATAGTTGGGACAGTTTTTGTGTTAGTAGAACCATTGTTAATGAAATCCGTATAGCATGAATCTGCACGAGCGTATGATATTAATTAAGTTATTTATACGCCATACGATTGGACAGAGAGTATGTTGATGCTGAGAAATGGAAACGTTTGTCATAGATTCTAGTTTAAAGTCATTGATACTTCAAATAAACAAAAAGTTAAATATGTTTTACAAATTTGAATGGCTAAATTTCACTACAAAACACGGATACATAGACTTTCATTTAACAAAAAATCTTAGATATCTTATAAAAATCTTTAGAAATGTACTGTTATTGAATTATTGTCTTTCCGTTCTCTTATTCGCCGACAGCTTTTCCGTGCGCAGTAACCTTAACCACGAGACCTCTTGTTATTTCTTCGGCAACCGCACAATGCTAGTGCGAGAGAACAACCATGATGAAAAATAGGTAAACAAATGTAGAAGTAAGATAGTGTTGATTAATTCTGAAAGAAAAATTTTAATACACCAAATCAAGGACGTACATTAGATACAAATATTTGACCAAATTATTTAACAACTGTTTTGACAAAGTTTATTTAACAAATAGAAACGCTTGGAAAAAAAAACATCGCTCTATTGCATGTCTATCATCTTACTTATTTTTCACATGTTCCATGATTCTGTGTTGATTCACGTTTATAAGGTCACATTCGGTAAACTTTGGCAATAAAGCACGAAAGTTAATTTACCGGAAAACCTTTCACTAAATGAAATATGTTTTGTCGATTGTCGAGTTAAGATTGAGGAAAAGATAAAGAAGCAAAACAGACATTAAATTGTAGTTTCGGTAATATCCTTAATTTCAAGTTCACTGGGATATATGAGATGCAAGCACTCATTAAAATGTTTGTTATTGAGTGACAGGACATCACCAATATATCTGAAAGTGAAAGACGTTTTTATTTTTGTCTTTGAGAAGGTCCTGTATGAATTCTAATTCATAAAAGTACAAAAGTTAAGTTCATTGAGTACAAAAAAGAACCAAAAAAAACAAAAAAAACTGTCAACGAGTTGGGTGCACAATTAATACCTATTGAAAAACAGACTGTCTGTAGAAACATCAATTGACAATTTCGAAAAATATATCGTCGATCAAAACGTCCTGCATTTCTATGATAACGTCTCCGGTGTAATTGTTGTTGAAATCAGCAAGGTTCTTTACATCACTTAAAAGAAGGAATCTTATTGTAAAGATCAACGATTCCAATTTTTGTATAACAAGTTTTGTTTTATGAAACATTATAGTCGATCTTTCATTTGAGCATGTGAAATAGTAATGTTATGGGAGTGTAGGGAAATCAAAATTTTGATATTACTGCAAAGTTGTAATTTTTTTTAGAGATTTTGGAAGAGACCTTTAGAATGTTTAAGAATCCACATCTTACTGACATCACTCTTGTTGAATAAACCATATCACAATATTTCTACTGTAATAAGATCTTGGTTGACCGATATGATATGTTTGTGTCTGAACTCACGGGGGATACGTTTTCGTGGTCGTATATTTAAAATTTTCTGAAATGTCGTCTGGTCTGAAAATTGACAGATTGTGTCCAATTCCTGATCATATCATTTTGAATGAATATGGATTTGCATGGCGGGTGATGCATACGATGCGCCTGGTCTCTCTCCGTGTGGAGTTCATCTAATTTCTTCAGTGATTTTCTTTCTTGATTTGTATATTACAAATGAATTTATGAGGTATTACCATCGGGTAAACTACAGTTACCTCTTATTTAGATATTCCAGAATTTTGTAGGAAAATATAAGAGTTGAATACAATTTTGCTGAACAGAAATTCATTTTGCAGAAAAGGAGGAATACATCTGACTTCAAATCAAAGAAAAGTAAAATGTTTTATTAAGACCGTTACCAAGAACATTTAACAAGGTTTCCACTCAGATCCATCAACATAATTATAATGAGTAAACGCAACATTCCGAATTCGCAAAAAAAACAACATGTATCTAATAGATATAAGAAGATGTGGTATGAGTGCCAATGAGACAACTCTCCATCCAAGTCACAATTTATAAAAATAAACCAGTATAGGCCAAAGTACGGTCTTTAACACGGAGCCTTGGCTCACACCGAACAGCAAGCTATAAAGGGCCCCAAAAATGACTAGTTTAAAACCATTCAAACAGGAAAACCAACGGTCTGATCTATATAAAATACGAGAAACGACAACCACTGAACATCAGATTCCTGACTTAGGACAGGTGCAAACAAATGCAGCGGGTTTAAACGTTTTAATAGGCGCCAACATTCACCCTACCTGAAACAATACAGTAACATCACAACATAGAAAGACACACTACAAAATATCAATTGAAATGGCTTAACTCAATCAAAAATTCATATTAACAAAAACAAGTGAACATACACTGAACGAATAAATTTGATCTATGACACAATGTAAATACAAAATTGATAAAACAAGGGGTTAGATGTTTAACAATATCAGAAAGACAACCATAACCTTTAACAAAATGTCGCCAAATAAAATAACGTACACAGTTAAATAAAAAATAATTTTGTTGTAAGGTATGATACATGGAGTACGGAAATTATTTTTACAAAATAAATAATTTTGTTGTTCCTAGTACGAGGGAAAAGGTGGAAATTTATCGTCATATTAAACACTTATCAAAGGTGGTATATATTAAGAATAGTGAGATAGACATAACACTGAATAAGTAAACATTAAATAACAAAAATACATTACAAATTGTATCAACAGGTCAAATTAACACGAAAGTACGATTTGAGATTACTCGCAGTTACTGAAAGCTAGTTAAAAGCTAAAAACAATTAATAATAAAAAATCATGCATCAGAGACTAAAATCAACTACAACACATCCCAGGGATTTAGTGTTTTAACGTCATGGACAGTCAAAGAAGACATGACTTGTGCAATGCCAAAAAGTATCGACAGGCAGTAGGATAGTTAGGAGTTAACCTGTTCATAAATATGTATAATGTAATATATAGATTGAGTAATCTCTATATAGAAAATGAACGTGGATGTGTATTTATACATCCCAAAAAACTGTTTGAAAAGAATACAAATTTAGTTATGTTTTAATCTGCTGATGACAAAATCGATATTTGTGCCAATGTAAACTGTATTCAAAGATCTAATTCCAACATTGGTAAGATAACCTTTACTAATAAGTTTGTCTAATGGTTCGATGAGTTTATACGGATCACATAGTGATTTCCGCGCTTTAAGTACAATATTAACGTAAAATTTTATCTAATACCGTTTTTAATGAGTTTTCTACAGGTACGTTCGTTAAAAACTATGAAAGCACGCTACAGAAAAGTACTTCTAAAAAAATGTCGAAGAAAAAGACAAACGGAGTGCCATAGCAATAATGAATAACCAATACACCAAAGATCAAATTCTATGGCATTTATATTCTGCAAAGATTGGTGCATGGAAATAAATGTGAAGAAAACAAAGATTATTATATTCAATAGGTGTGGTAGACTCCTTAATGAAGATTTCAAGATAGGAAATAATTCTATCGAATGTGTTAAACAATACAAATATCTTGGCATAGTCATCCAAAATACTGGAAACTTTAATGAAGCCAGGAAACAATTATTCCAAAAAAGTCAAAAGGCCAGTTTTAAACTGTATAAAGATTTGAAATGATCAAATCCTCCTATTAAAACTCTTTTGCATTTATTTGATCATTGTAAACAGCCAATTGTAACGTATGGTTGTGAAAATTGGGGTGTTATTAACATTACTCCTAAAAGGAAAAAATTATCCCTTTATGACATATTTAAAGACTGGGAGTTTGAGAAGCTAAATTTAAAATTTTACAAGTATATTATTGGTGTTACAAAGATGTGCACAAACGTAGCAGTCCTGTCTGAACTGGGTAGATATCCTCTTTATATAAATTTGCTAACACATATGTTTATGTATTGGCATAGACTAGAGAATTTCCCAACTGATTTATTGAAAAGTGCTTATGCTGAGTTAAAAATGATTGAGAGTAAAGCTCAAACTAACTCCAATAATGCATGGCTCTCTAATATCATTTTCTACAGCGAAAAATTGGGTATTGACCTAAATATGTAAAAATTTAGGCAAAAATAAATTTAAAAATTTACTGAAAAAAACTGCTCATATTAAATTTTCAAAATGATTGTAAGAAAATGCGAGATTTTTATTTACAGAATCAAGGCAAATTGGACACTTATTTTTCATTCAAGAGGCCATTTGACTATGAAAATTATTTAGATTTAAAGCACCCCCAAAAACATTTGTTAACAAAATACAGACTCCGCAACACTGTTTAAGAATAGAAACTGGCAGACATGAAAGTTTTATCAATGCATGTGGTAAATATGAAATATTACCTCGACATGATAGGATATGTTTATATTGTAATTCAAATTCTATTGAAAATGAAATGCACTTTCTTCTCGAATGCCCTCTTTACAATAACCTCAGAAGAGATATGACTGATTATATCAAAAAATACCCCAGTTTAGTTAATTTAAACAGAAATGATCTTTTTACATGGATCATGAGTAATGAAGATAGCAGTTTTTTATCTATTTTATGTGCATACCTTGATAAAGGCCTGCAACTTAGAAAATCAGAAAATTAGTTAAATACTCTAATAGATAGCAAAATTATCTCACCTTGACCACGGACCCTTTCCTCATGCATTTGAACTATTATTTTATGTTTCTTTAATCACTCTGTAATGTCTATGTCATGTTGTTATTAATGTTATGCTCTTAATGGGACCTTTAATTTGGAAAAATAAAAATATTATTGTATTATATTATTGTATTGTATATGACAAAATAGTAATCGTAGAAGAGACAAAACGGCTAGGCTATAAGTCAACTTAGTGCAATTATCCTGCCAAATTTACGGATACAGACCAATTTATGAATACTGAAAGGGATAGTTTGTATACAATTATCCCACAAAGGCATGGATTGAAAGTTACATGTTTTTTGGTAGGTAATACCAGGAGATATGATAAGTTGACTTTTCTTACTTCAATGCATCGAATTGTGTAATTATATTATCCTAATGTTTTCCTAAATACATCAAAAGCCAACGAATATGGAAATCATCTCTTTGGCTGTCAACAAAAACCGGGGGTGAACCCATTTCCTGCTAGTGGTACCCGTTGTGTTTCCCACGAAAGAAAAATATGAGCCAAAGTTAATTGTGTCTGTGGTATCCTTTATTTCAATTTCATTGAGGGTAGATGCAGTCAACAAGATCTTGTTTTCCCTAATCGGATGTCGACTGATTTAAATTTAAATCTTAGATAAATGATTTGTGTATTAGTTGTTATTGGTTTTGAACTAGCTTTCAATAATTGCGAGTACTCTCAGATCAGTACTTTTTGTTTTGAGTCTTTATGTTAGTTTTTATTTTTTGTGTCAATCTGTTGAGACAAGCCTTTTCCAAATTAGTTGATAGTTTGTACTTTAATATGTTGTGCTATTCACCACTGTTCCTATTTAGGGGAGGGCTTTGCGCCCGCAAACATGCTTAACTGCATCATTCTGTGTGTCTCTGTTCCAATCCAGGAGCCTGTAATTCAGTGGTTGTCGTTTATTGCTGTTTATCATATTTGTCTTTCATTGCTTGTTGTTTACATAAATCAGGCTGTTTCGTTTACATTTGTCATGTCGGGCCTTTTATAGCTTGCTATGCGATATGGATTTTGCTCATCGTCGAAGGCCGTACGGTGACCTATAGATGATAACTGCTACATACGTCATTATTGTCTTTGTGGACAGTTGTCTCATTGTCAATCCTACCACATCTTTTTGTGTTTATATAGTCACTAAACCTTGAAATATTCCATGAAACACATCACATATATAGCGGTTAAAGAAGTTATGGGACAATTCCAGATTTTTTTTTTTCTTCTTCAGAAACACCTTTGTGAAGTCTGCATTTACAGCATAAAGGAACAAGTAGTAATGTCGAATGTCTGTTGGAAAATACATCCTCCAAACATAATAAATATATTGTAAAACATTTACTAACATTTTAATGATAACAGTTTCAGTGAACTTTTTGTGCGATTCAGGGTGTTTTGGGAAATTATAATTTGTCCATTACTAAAACATATTTTTTTGTAAAGGTGACGACGAACTTAGTTTGAGATGTCTATTTTGTGTCTCTTTTAGACATACAGCTCTTGGTGTGTTTAAGTATTAAGCATTCATAGATTTCAACCTTTTTTTTATGGAGCGTACCTGATAAAGGTTAATCCAGAAAAGTCACTTTCAGTGGCGGATCCAGAACTTTTTGTAAGGGGGGCCCACTGACTGACCTAAGGGGGGCCGCTCCAGTCATGCTTCAGTGATTCCCTATATAATCAACCAATTTTTCCCACAAAAGGCCCCCCCCCCCCCCCTGGATCCGCCAATGACTTTTCGAACGCACGAAATTTATAATGTTTTATTTTCATTTTTTCTTTAAGTTTAGAATACGGAATCATATGTAAAGAGTCGAGAAGTCAAAAGTTGTGTATACTATTGAAGTGCTGTAACAGACCTTTTGAATTTTTAGTATCCACATCTGATCTGGGACTATTACTCTAAGTTAGTATGATAGTCCTAGATCTGATTCACACCACCTGTAGCGTATGTAGTTTCAAAGTAACTCTGAAGTTCGGTTTTAAAGGGGCACTAGCTACGAGATATAAAAAAATATAAAATATGATTTTTTTTTTGTTCAATCATTAATGAAAGTGGAATAGTGAAATAATAATTCGCTTTTAGCAGCCAGTATTGTCTAATTTTGTCAAAATAAGCAAATAAATATTGAGGATGAATTATTCTCTTGCAAGTGAATAATTCGACCTCATTGAATCCGTATTCATGTGAACTTCAGTTTAACCCCTTAGATAGAGTTGGATAACGCATGGATTGTGTGCATGTTTGATTATTTAAAGGAAAAGAATGTCAACATTGAAAGTAAACAAAGGTAATTCATTTAATTGACTGATTTGAGCCTAAAAAAATCATTCTTATACAGGTAAAAATGATGATTAACATATAATTTAATCTATAAATGTGAAATTAAATAGACCTAGAAGAATCCAATTGCACGAGTTGCGCTATCTATATATATCTATATTTATGTTTATATCCCTTATATGGGCATCGGTGGTTTTCGGGAGGTCAACTCTACAGTTAATTAGATGGCGTCTAGACTAAAATGCACACAAAACGAAGCTACATATTATCGATCCTATGCCCTGTAAATTGTTTATTTTAGATTTTTTATAATTTGGATAAATGTTTTACATTGTTATATAACAAATATGAGAATTTGAGTCAAATCGGTGAACATGAATTTGACAGCTAGTGCCCCTTTAATTGCCCATAAAACATATAGATAATGATATTGATTATTTGGCAAACATCGTCACGGTGCTTACTAAAACAAGCGTTTTTGAAAAGCTACTATATTTTAAATCTCGTACCGGTTTCCTATCACGTGTCCAGAGCGAGATTAACTCCATGCCGATGGCCGAGAGAAAAAGAAGGAAAACAACTGAATTTATTTTGTCGTACGATCATATTTCATTTCCTTATTCACATTAACTTGTTTGTTCAACGACACTCATTGGTAGTTGTATTATGTTATAAATACTAAAATACAGATATTTCTGACATGGATCAATAAAAACATGTATTTCTTATAAAAACGAAAGAATAATTTTTGACATTTCGCGGAAAAAAGTAATAACACTTTATCACTTTCAGGGTTACAGTTCCTTTTCAGTGAAGTCTGAACTATTTTTGCTGTCATACTTTTACCCAGAATAGATGTGAGTTGCATTTTATGGTCATAAATGATTTTTGGTAGGATTTGAGAATTGCCAAAATTATGCAAGCTCTTCATATTGAATTCAAGTTACCTCAAGATAATGTATATTTCCAATTTATGTTTTACTAAATGTTTGTTTGTATAATCACTTAATTTTGTGTATAAACTTGCTTTATCTCATTCACAGCTGAAGGGGTCATATTCCTGAGTCTACGTAGGCTTGTAAACAGATAATCTTCAATGGTTATGCACATTATGTTTACTTCCAGTGTGCATCACAACACAAAATAACTTGCCTAACTACAATTGAATATGCACAAAATACTCTTGTTATGGGTACAACAATATTCAGAAAAGGGGGCAGAGTGGTCTAAGTAGTCAAACTACTGTATCACTAGCCAGTTAACACTTAGGTTGTGAGTTCGAATCCCGCACAAGGCAGGTGCACTCGACTCAATCTTAATTGACTAGGATTGTCAGTTTACCTACCGAAGGTTGATGGTTCTCTCCTGGCACTCCGGCTTCCTCTACCAATAAAAACTGACTGCCACGAATTAGCACAATAGTGTTGAGAGTGGCGTTAAACACAAGGTTGGGCAGTATTTACCGCCCCTGGTATTTACCGCCCTAGACAATACTCCACAAGTGGTTAATACTGGCAAATACTGGTCGATTGAAATTTTCATGGTGGTTTTTACTATTTATTGAAGTTAAAAAATGATAAAAAGTAAGATATATTTAAACTTTTATCTTTTGGTATGTTTCAGCTGATATAAATGAATGAATTTGATATGTTTTTTTTTTACATTTTTATACCACTTATTTTAAGTGTATGGATCTCTATGAAATTTTACCATAAGGTTCAATACCACAAAAGGAAGGTTGGGATTGGTTTTGGGGGTTATGGTACCAACAGTTAAGGAATTAGGGGCCAAAAAGGGGCCAAAAATAAGCATTTTTGTAACTTCCAGACATAACTTGTGTGTTAGTGTATGTATCTCTCTGACATTGTACCACAGGGTTACATATCACAAATGGAATGCTGGGATTGATTTTGGGGGTATTTGCCTCCAAATTTTTGGAATTAGGGGGCAAAAAACAAGCATTTTTCTAGTTTCATGACAACAACTTGTGTGTAAGTGTATGGATCTTTCTGAAATTGCACTACAAGGTTCCATACCACAAAAGGAAGACTGGGATTGATTTTGGGGGTAATTGCCCTAAATGTTTGTGAATTTGGGTCCAAAAAGGGGTAAAAAAACAAGCATTTTTCTAGTTTCCAGACAATAACTTGTGTTCAAGTGAATGGATCTCTCTGAAATTGTACTGTAAGGTACCATACCACAAAGGGAAGGCTGGGATTGATTTTGGGGGTAATTGCCTTAAAATCTTAGGAATTACAATGTAGGGGCCAAAAGGGGCAAAAAAACAAGCATTTTTCTAGTTTCAGGACAATAACTTGTGTGTAAATGTATGGATCTTTATGAAATTGTGCTACAAGGTTCCATATCACAAAGGGAAAGCTGGGTTTGAGTTTGGGGGTAATTGCCCTAAACGTTTAGGAATTTGGGGCCAAAAAGGGGTAAAAAAACAAGCATTTTTCTAGTTTCCAGACAATAACTTGTGTTCAAGTGTATGGATCTCTCTGAAATTGTACTCCAAAGTACCATACCACAAAGGGAAGGCTGGGATTGAGTTTGGGGGTGATGAATCATAAGGGGGTTCAAAAAATTTGAGGGGGGATTTTTTTTTCATTTTTTTTCTTTAAAATTTTCCATTTTAAATTGGTTATTTCTGATTTATATATAAAAGCAAGTAATAATGATATGGTTTTAATAGGTAAATTAAAAATTTTTAAGTTCTTAGACCACATTCATTCTGTGTCAGAAACCTATGCTGTGTCAAATATTTAATCACAATCCAAATTCAGTGCTGTATCAAGCTTGAATGTTGTGTCCATACTTGCCCCAACTGTTCAGGGTTTGACCTCTGTGGTCGTATCAAGCTGCGCCCAGCAGGGAGCATTTTATTAACACTTGTACCTACTAGTTTAGTCCTTATAAGTTATGATATTGCATGTTTTATATATATATATAAAGAATTGACAAATTAATTATTACAACATTTTTCAATCAAGATAATTTTTATTGAAAATGCATAATTTTTACAGGTACATAAAACTACAGGTAAATGAACTTTACAGGTGTCTTATTACCTATCACCTGGCATTGCTAGGTGTGAAAATTTAATTACTATTGAAACAACAGCCCCCAATAAATGATGACAAAACATGGTTGAAAGTAAAAAAAGTGATATTTGAAGACTCACTTAAACAATAAAATATTTCCTATCTATTAAATGTGAGACAAAAAACATCTTTATGCAGGAAATGGAAGGTATGAAGGACCTTTTCTCTTATGGCTGAACTGTAATTTATGTTTTAAACCGAAAAATATATAATGTTGTATAAATTTTACCTTTACATAATCAATATTTACATGATTAACATACACATATACATGTAGTATAACCATCTTGACCTTAAGCACCAAACTGAAACATGGAGATCCTATTTCGAACTTCTATACAATATAAGACAACAACAAAACCAGTGCAAAATGTAATGATTGCAATGCTATAGCCAGTGCAAAAGCCATCTGATGAGTTTCTGCCAGGGACAAAACATTTTTATCTTATGTACTAATAAAACATTGAGTGTAAATCACTTTTTATTAAGAATTTACAATAAAAATAGAAAGAGAACATTTAAAATGACTTTAACACTTTCATTATTTCATTTTTTAAAAGTAATTGACCAATAGAGAGTGGTTTTTATAGTAATGTCCACTCAAAATTTCAATCGACCAGTATTTGCCAGTATTTCCCGGTATTTACCGCTGTCATGGTCAATACTAGTATTGACCGGGTTTTTACCAACCTTGGTTAAACACCAATCAATCAATATTCAGAAAACTCTCTAAAAGTAATGTTGTGAACGTATTTTGGTACATAATTGTTGTTCGGTATAGATAAACTGCGATGTTTTGAATATAAACTTTAGAATTAAGCATAGATAAGTCAATTTAAAACTAGAGGATTGAAGTGATCACCTTGGACTTTATTAGTTTTTATCATTACTCAAGCCTGGGAATGTTAATTAATTAGAAATGCATACTTTTAACAAATTCGCCAAAGTTCATTACAGGATTTCATGTACAAGTTATCCTTTCTTGAATGGTAAAGATTTCAAACTGAGAATATTTCACGAAGAATCCGGTGATATGTGTGTACATTATTGATTGAATATTGTAAATATTGTCTGATAAATTATCTGACTGGACTTACATAAGGCTGTGGTTATTTTAGTTACTTTCAGTTTTCTATTGATATAAATTTCGCAAGTTTATTGGTTTAGCGGGAAATAGGGCGTGTCTTGGCATAATCAATCACTTTGGAAAGCAAACTCGATAAGCAAAATTAGACTTCCCAGCTGACCGGATGTTTTTATACGACCGCAAAAAAATTTTTGTGGTCGTATATTGGTATGACGTTGGCGTCGTCGTCCGGCGTCGTCCGAAGACACATTGGTTTTCGCACTCTAACTTTAGTTTAAGTGAATGGATCTCTATGAAATTTTACCACAAGGTTCAATACCACAAAAGGAAGGTTTGGATTGATTTTGGGGGTTATGGTACCAACAGTAAAGGAATTAGGGGCCAAAAGGGGCCAAAAATAAGCATTTTTGTAACTTCCAGACATAACTTGTGTGTTAGTGTATGGATCTCTCTGACATTGTACCACAAGGTTCCATATCACAAAAGGAATGCTGGGATTGATTTTGGGGGTAATTGCCTCAAAATTTTAGGAATTAGGGGCAAAAAAGGGGCAAAAAACAAGCATTTTTCTAGTTTCAGGACAATAACTTGTGTGTAAGTGTATGGATCTTTCTGAAATTGTACTACAAGGTTCCATATCACAAAGGGAAAGCTTGGTTTGAGTTTGGGGGTAATTGCCTTAAACGTTTAGGAATTTGGGGCCAAAAAGGGGCCAAATAAACACATTTTTCTCGTTTCCAGACAATAACTTGTGTTCAAGTGTATGGATCTCTCTGAAATTGTACTGCAAGGTACCATACCACAAAGGGAAGGCTGGGATTGAGTTTGGGGGTGATGAATCATAAGGGGGTTCAAAAAATTTGGGGGGGGATTTTTTTTTTTTCCTTTTTTTTCTTTTTTTCCTTTTTTTTTTCTTTTAAAATTTTCCATTTTAAGTTGGTTATTTCTGATTTATATTTAAAAGCAAATAATAATGATATGGTAGGAGATACACACCAAACAGGATGTGTAAGTTTTTATGTAATAAGTATTGTGCAATAGCAAGAAATTTTCAATTGCACAGTATTGCACAATAGCAAGAAATCTTCAATTGCACAGTATTGTGTAATAGCAAGAAATATCCAATAGCACAATATTGCGCAATAGCAAGAAATTGTCAATTGTACAGTATTGCGCAATAGCAAGAAATATTCAATTGCACAGTATTGTGCAAAAGAAGATACTTCCTATAAATTGCTTATTTCTTGACCAATTTCAATGGGGTTTTATTCTTGAATTCTTGGGGTTCTTTAATATGCTGAATCTAACTGTGTATTAAGTTTTTGGATTTTGGGCCCCGTTTTTAAATTGGTCCACATTGAGGTCCAAAGGGTCCAAAATTAAACTTAGTTTGATTTCATCAAAAATTGAATTATTGGGGTTCTTTGATATGCCGAATCTAACCGTGTATTTAGATTCTTAATTTTTGGTTCCGTTTTCAAATTGGTCTACATTAAGGTCCAAAGGGTCCAAAATTAAACTTAGTTTGATTTTAACAAAAATTGAATTCTTAGGGTTCTTTGATATGCTGAATCTAAACATGTATTTAGATTTTTGATTATGGGCCCAGTTTTCAAGTTGGTCCAAATTGGGGTCCAAAATTAAACTTTGTTAGATTTCAACAAAA